TAAAAGCTGAATTCTGCATTTAAAATAATTAGGAAAGATACTGTCTACTTAGTCATGACTTATTACTGCAGCACCTTTTTAAGGGGCCCTAGGAAGTTCCTTTCTCATTAGGCATTGTTTCCCAGTGATGAAAATGACATTTTGGCTGAGGTGTACCCTTTCGAGGGACCATTAACACAGCACCTGGGAAGTGGTGCCAGGCTTGGAGAAACAGGCGACTGAATGCAGGACAGACAATGTGCTTCCTCAACCTGGTTCTTCCACAGACAGTCAAGGTGAGATGGGACTCACTTTTTCTGTGGGCATATGCTAGAGAAATTATGAAAGTACATAAAAAAAATGCCAGGGTACCGTGCCAGCAAGAATGAAGGACAGAGTAGAGAGAGAAGAAAAGAAAGAGCCCTTTAAACAGCAAAAACATAATACAGATTAGAACCTCAGAGCTTCTGGGGATCACACTAGGTACAAGCTTCTTTATATTAGTTTAGATTTTCAGAAACTGTTGGGAAGAATTAAAGTGTCCTTTAAAGGGTCTTAGAAATTTACTATCCTGGGTAAATGCATAAAGTACTAAATCATAGTTAGGGACTATTATCTTTATAGCAAATTTAAATGTGATATCCTTACTAATAATGAATGATTTAGCTACATTAAAAATACATTACAAGATTTTTTGCAAACATTCAAACTATGTACAGAAGAGAATGAAATGTAGACTACTCTGGTAAAATATATATCCTACTACTACAATTACAAATAGAAATAAAAATTATTCTTATTAGTCCCCTTGAAATGAATACTAAAAAGTATTATTAAAAGTATGGAGCAATATTTGAATTTAAATTATTTTTTATCCTCTGATTAAAACAATTGTTACCTGTGATTTTTGTGACAAAAAGGATTTGAGGGGTCAATATGAAACATTCTATTATGTTTTCAGGATAAAATGAGTAACAGGAAGTCATAGGATAGTGCTTGGGAAATGGCATATGGTCAAGAAAGTTTTATTTTTTTTGTAAATCTGGAACCAAAGATTTAAATACCAATGATAATATAATGTTTGCCCAACATGAAGAGTCAAATCAAATCATAGTTTATCTTTTATGGCTCTAAAACCAATTATAAAAGATAGGGGCTACCTTTTAATAACGCTTTTCTGTAAAATATCTATATTGGCTGGGCACAGTGGCTCATGCCTACAATCCTGGCACTTTCAAAGGCCAAGGTGGGTGAAACGCTTGAGTCCAGGAGTACAAGACAGGGCTGGGCAATGTGGCAAAATGCCACCTGTACAAAAAATACAAAAATTAGCCAGGCAAGGTGATGTGCACCTGTAGTCCCAGCTACTGAAGCAGCTGAGGCAAGAGGATTGCTGCAGCCCAGGAGGCAGAGGCTTCCATGAGCCAAGCTCACACCAGCCTGGCCTCAATTTAAAAAAAAAAATCTATTAGACACTGCCCATCACACAGCAGCAGTATTTGTTTGCTTATGACCAAACTAATGGTCAAATTGTTTTTTACCAAAAGCAAGTTTCTACCTTATTAAAAGTAAGAATTAACACAAAGTATTAAGAAGAAATGACAAGGATGCACAATGATTCTTGTTTAGTTTAAAAAAAAAATACACACAGATATATGCGTATACATATGCATGTGTAAAGAACTTTTGAAATCTGTACATATTCAGTTGTTAATTTAAAAAATCTAACAGACTTTTACTCAAAAAATCATTTGAGAAACTTCTGAACCCCTTTCTTTGAGGTAGGCAGAAAATCCTGCATTGAAAAACAAAGGACTTATTTATGAACAAAAGAATTTCTTTAGGATTTTCCAAGTAATTGCAGTTTGTCAATCCCTCCCCTACAGTAGCACAAAGTAGTGTATACAAAAGGATGTGGGAGAAAATGTGATTTTTCCTTCACACTGGCCACTGACACACTTTGAAACCATACTGCGTTTAACCGAAGCCTATAGTGATCAACTGTGCCTTCTGCAGAGTAATTTAACTACTCGACAGCTGGAAAGAGAAACAAGACTTAGCGAAAAAAAGCACCATGCTGACGAACAACAATATTGCCCATATTAAGCTCTATTTTCTGAGTCAAAGTTTGGGTCATGTAAAAGTAAAAGTGGCCCCAGAGAAGAGAACAGTTTCTCAAAGATTGCCATTTAAACCTCAAATGACCATGTTTCACAGCAGGCTCAATACATTCCAGCATGTAACTGCATTTTAATTTCCTAAAACCACAGGATGTAAGTCTGATTTCAAATAGTGTCTGGACTGCGATATTCAATACTGATAAAACTGTATGGTATTCTCTTGAAAGTTCCACAAATTCAGCATATGAAAAAAGATCTTCAATTTCTTCGAAGTACTATTCTCAAAGAAATTTACTCCAGAGTTTTGTATATGAATTCTAAACAATGAATATTAAGAGCTAACGCTACTGCCATAAGAAATATAAACTACTAGTTATAGGAAAAGAATACACAATATATTCATCACTCACCAGGATACAGTATGCTCTATGAGACTAAATCTTTTTTGCCATGTTCATTACTACTTATTTTGGAACATGATTTTAAAATCTATTAACATGAATGTTTCCTTGAATGTCTATTCAATGGATGGAAATTATTCAATCACCTTCTCAGCTTTATAAAAGCAGAATTTGTTTAGTCTCCAAGTATTATGTAAGAAGAAATGCAACCTTTAAAACAGATCAACAAGGAAAAAAAGAAAGTGAAACTGTCATAAGTTGGGGAGTAGGAAATTTAGGATCATAATACTATTGGAATGCAACTTATACAGATAAAGTTTTACAGGTGAATATGAAATCTTTTAGTGAGATGTTCAGCAGTTTTCATCACAAGGAACTGGACTGACCTGACCTTGAGAAAAGCTAGAGAAACACTTTTTCTGGGGAGAGAAGAGAGCAGATAAGTCTATGTTTTCCCTTATAATACTATTGCCTTTGGCTTTGAGCCTGACTTTAAAACTGATGGACAAAATTAATGTTTGTTTTAAAGAACATATCTGATCAATGAGGTGTAACTTTACTCAGAATAAAACGATCATGCACTGACTAATAATTTTGCGTGTGGGAACTATAAAGCTCTAGTTATTCTAGGAAACCTTAATATCTAGAAAAACTGGGGCTAACGCCAGGGTTCCTGGCATATGAGTCAGCGGGGTCCCTATGGTCACTCATCATCAGATTCTAAGGTATCATCAGGTGTAAGGAGGAGTCCCTCTTGAGTTCATAATAGCTTTTCAAGGAGATAACAAAATACAACATTACATGAGTCCATTTTTTTTTACATGAAAATACCTGATTGTGAAACAAACGTGCATCTTAGAACTGAAGAAGTTACTGCATCCGTTTCCCTGCCCCTTATCTTTCATTTGATTTTGCTCCATCTACTCCTCTCCCCTCCTCCAGCCTTTCCATTGATCTCTCCTTCTTTTTTCCCAAACTTAAGACTACAGGTCATAGCTAGAAAAATGTTTGTACTCTTGAGAAATATGGATCAGGCATCTCCTCTGTGGTGAGGCTGTGTGAGGCCTCAAAGTTCAGTTAAGCACAATTGAGAATATCAAGGAACTTTAGGGGGAAGACAAGCATGTCAACTTAATGCAACCCATCCCAAGAGCATCTGCACCCGTGCCTGTCTTACAGAGCCACGGCTGAACGCTGTGAGGACGAGGAAGGCTGTGTGGAGGAGGACTACTTTGAACTGTGACTGGTACTTGGACTACAGGGAGGTAAGCAAAACTGCACGTCTTTGCAGAGAAAGGGATCAGAGTAAATAAAAGTAAATGCAGACAAAAGCCTGTGGCATATAAGGGATGCAACATTCTAATCTGGTGAAATGACCACCAAAACAACAATAATAGGGGGCTGTTCTTAGCATGCTTATCTCATTTTAATCCTCATTACAGCTCAGTAAGGTAGGTCTTATTATTATCTCAATTTTAAAAGTGAGAAATCTGAGCCCAGGGAGATTATTAAATCGCCTAAAGGCATACAGTTTACCAGCTGACCGTGAAGCCAGGATCTGAATCCAGGAAGCCTAACTCCATGGCTATACTTCTTTTTTTTTGAGTCAGAGCCTTACACTGTTGCCGCAGGCTGAGGTGCAACGGTATGATCTCAGCTCACTGCAACCTCTGCCTCCCGGGTTCAAGCGATTATCCTGCCTCAACCTCCTGAATAGCTGGGATTACAAGCGCCCACAATCACACCTGGTAATTTTTGTATTTTTAGTAGAGACAGGGTTTCATCATGTTGGGCAGGCTGGTCTTGAACTCCTGACCTCAGGTGATCTGCCGGCTTCAGCCTCCCAAAGTGATGGGATTATAGGCATCAGCCACTGCACCTGGCCAGGGATATACTTGTAATGTCTGTACATACTCTTAGTACACAGAACATCTAAAGAGAAACAATGGGAAACAAAACCATGCTGGAAGTATACACCAAAGATCTAAGAAGAAAGTCAAAAAAGTATTGTCACAAAACCCATTACAGTCTGTTTGCCTCCATGAAACTATTCTACAACTTCATTCAGTCTAGTTGGCCAATCTTTCTGTCTTCTCTACACTGACTAAATAATCCATCTAGCAGGCAATTTTTATGCACTGTGATAGTTATAAAAGATATGGATGTCGATATCAGCCCCTGAAAGCATAGAAAAACCAACCTAATGGGAGAAACCAGGTCAGTAAGTGACACGAGCACATGAGGTTTCTTAATTTTGTGCCAAACTGTGAGTGTGAGTTTGTGCGCATGTGCAAAGTCTTCCTCTATCTTCTATCTTACACACACACACACACACACACACGCGCGCACACACACACACACACACACACACGCACTTATGCACAGCACACTCTGTAATATATACAAAGTTACCTGGACCCTGTTAAGGGCCACAGCCACACACAAATGGATCATAAAAACAAAGCCAATGATTTCCAGCTGAGCTCAGCTCCAAACATACCTGCTTCTGGGTCCTGGTTGAAACGGCAGTACTTGGAGTTTTCAAGTGAAGGCAGGCATTGCTCAATGGGCACCCAAACATATGTCTCAGGGCACAGCAAATCAGAAGGTCTATACTGACCCTGAAGGAAAATGAAGGAAAAAGGTACGTGCATTATTGACACAGCAATGACAGAGATAAAGGGACCAGGGCTCCAGGAAAGGTTTGAATAAAAAACTTAAAAGTCAATCAGAAACTATCTTACTGTAAACACTAAGCAACTCTGTAGCTGATAGCGTTCCCATCTCCTAAAAGCATGTTTGACTCAAGGCTCTCTGAAAGTTAAAAACCACCACTTAGGATGCCTGTGTTGATCTGGAAAATATGAGTTTTTAATCTCTTCCAGAAGAAATATTTAACATGATTCTTGCTGAGCTGACTGTTCAAGAATAACTAGTTTCAAAATCAAGTTGTCTTTTAAATGCTAGTTAATTAACAAAGGGAAATTTCTTTTCATATATTAGAGCACTGTATATAGTGAACTTATTTTTCAACATGGAATTTCGCTATCCTTGATGACAAATTTTTTAATTTATGATTTGTAGACTCAGTTGATAATATTCATTTTGTTCTAATGTATTAGAAAGTACTGTCTTATCAACATACTTCTAGTATAAGCAATCTAAACTGATAAATGTATCATAAAGAGAAGTTCAAGAAGCAGAAATTTCAGGGAAACAACTGATAATCCACTAAACTGCATCTTTTTTTTTTTTTTTTTTTTGAGACAGTCTCACTCTGTCACCCAGGCTGGAGTGCAGTGGCGCCATCTCAGCTCATTGCAACCTCCACCTCCTGGGTTCAAGTGATTCTCCTGTCTCAGCCCCCAGAGTAGCTGGGATTACAGGCATATGCCACCAGGCCAGGTTAATTTTTGCATTTTTGGTAGAGAGGGGGTTTCACCATGTTGGCCAGGCTTAACTCCTGACCTCAAGTGATCCACCCACTTCAGCCTCCCAAAGTGCTGGGATTATAGGCATGAGCCACTGCACCCAGCTAATTTATATTTCTATAATCCAATTATATACCTCAAATTTAACACAAAGACTATACAACAGGTGCTGAAGAAAAAAATTATTCACTTAATGGGGATAATGAAGATGGTACAAATTATGTGAAAGCATATCGTGAAAATTTTCATAACTATCAAGGTTTTATATTCTTTGAGCTTAATTAAAATTCAAAGTGTCTCTCTTCTAAATTTAAAAATTCATTATAAAAGTTAAAATCTAGCATAGTGTTTTTCCATTTTGTTTTACTACAAACCATAGTATAAGATACATTCTATATCACAGCCTAGTAAACATATATGTAAACATAAAACCAGAAACAAACCTTTTAGTATACAATGCTTACCCATGCTATGTTCTACTTTACTTCATTTTTTAAAAAATGCTGCCCTTGAACCACCACAACTGCTTTTACAAGCAGCAAATGGGTCACACCACAGAGTTTGAAAAATACCAGTGATGCTTTCCATCAGAAAGGCTCTATACCAGGTCCTGTGTGAATCACTATATGAAGCATGGATATAAAATGAACACCATGCCCCAGCAGCCTGTGAAGCATTCAGAAGTCTGGAAGCCAACAAAGGAGGATATACATCAACAAAATGTGAGGAAACATTCTTTCCTGGGAGATGGTTCAGGGAGGATATGGGGTTTTATTGAGGACTTAAAAGACTGACTGAATTAAGTCTAGGGTAGGATGAAAAGAAATGAGAACAAGCTAGATAAAGGGAACAGCATAAAGACACAGAGTTGGGCCAAGCAGAAAACTCTAAGCAACATGAAATGGCAGGGCACCACAGCAATGGAATGGTGGGTTGGAATTAGATTCCGGGGGACATTCTGGGGAGCAGTCACATTTGGAATTTTCTTCTAGAAGAAATGGGAAGGCTTGCTGGATAAGGGGAGAGTTTTGTCCTAATCCAACAGGAGCAGATAACAGGATGAGGACCAGAAGTCAGGTCTCTGACTCAACTTTCCTGGAGTGCTCACTGCACTGTTGCTGCTCACTGCCCTACAGCAGGAGAAGGCCATCTACAAGGGGCAGCTCCAGGTGGTCTACAGACTCATCTAACATTAAAATTCAAACACAGAAGTAGGGATGAATTGATGATTTACTCAGGAAGTGTAATAAAGCCAGATACTTCACGGCTATCTATCCTATAAAAACAATGGCATTATCTCCGTTAACTCCGAAACTGTTTTACTGGGGAAAGGCCGTGATGCTGTCCATGTTATTAACAAATCTGAAAACTAGACAGCACACTAAAGCTGTGGGTCTAAATCTATTTTTTTCCTTCTTGGTTATAGACCACTTTGGAAATCTGATGGAAAAAAAAGCTAAATATAAAAGCGAAACATAAAACTTCTCAGTGAAAAAAAGGACTAAATTTTCTTGTCCTTGGAGCATAAGAAATTTCCTTTGTAAACAAAATGCAGCAACCATAGAAGAAGAAAACTGATGAACTGTACTTCCTCAAAGTTATCTTCAATAAAAACTATTAGGGAAATAAATAGGAAAGCCAAAAACTGGGAGAAAATATTGACAAAACATATATTAAAGAGCAGACTTGTGTCTGGAATATATAAAGAATTTTAACGACTCAATGATAAGAACACAACCCCATATTTTAAAAAAGGCAAACCACTTAAGCACTTCACCAAAGATATATAAATTCCTAGTAAGCATGTGAAGAGATGTTCAACATCGTCAATGACCAGAAATGCAAATTAAAACCACAGCAAATTATCACTGCATGTCCACTAAAATGGCTAAATTTTAAAAAGATGAAGAAACAAGTTTTGGTAAGGATTTGAACTAACTAGAACTTACATATTGTTGGTATGAAATGGTGAAGCGCTTGTTAAAATATAAATATCCTTGTACATATATCATTTGTGAATATCCCTAGGATAAATTCCTTCAACTGGGGATGTTAGGTAAAAGGGTTTTAACTTTCATAGCGTCAAATGACTTTCCACAGAAGTTGTACCATTCTACATTCTTATCAGCAATGTTACGTTCCCAAGTTGATTTTCCTCACATCTGTACCTAGAGAGTATACTATCAAAACTTTCAATCTTGCTGTTCTAAAAAAAAATCACATTTCATGTGGTTTTAATTTGCAATATAAATCTTCCGTATATTTAGAGGAATTTGCATTTTATTTTTCATAAAGTTGGTCCATTTTATTGTTAGATTGCTGGCCTTTTCTTATTAAACAATTCTTTATATATTAAGAACTCTTTATATATTAAGCTCTTGGTTTGTATGCCACAAATATTTTCCAAGTTTATATATCTTCTGACTTTGTATGCCATACTCTTATGCCATATGAAAATCTGATGTGTGGTCAAATCAATCATTTTTTTCAATGGCCTCTGGGTTTTACATGATAATTAAAAAGGCACTCTCACTTGAAGATTATGAAAACATATTTTCATATTTTTTCTAGTACTTTCATGGTTTCATAATATTACATTTACATTTATGCTCCATCTGGAATTTATCGTGGTGTAAGGTATACAAAAATAATCCAACTTAATTTCTTTCAAATGTTTACTCAATGCCCTCAGTATCATTTTTAAAACAATCTTCATTTCCTCTGCTAACATGGTAACTTACTAAATTCCCATATATAGGAAATCTCTTTCTGGATTTTCTACTTATTCTTTTATACTGACCTGTCTGTCTTATTGGGTAACAGTGCCACATAGTTTTAACTATTAAAGCTTTATATTATGTTTTAATATCTTAGAGATTTAATTCCCCCTCATCACTCTTCATTTGTAAAATTTTCTGGCTAATTTTACTTAATTGTTCTAGAATTCTGAATTTGGTACAAAAATATTACCAACATGAACACTAATAAAAGTGGTATGGCATATCTTGAATACTGTGATGGCAAAACATAAAAGAAGAGAATACCCATGCTGGACAACACAGTGAGATCCCATATCTCTACAAAAATTTTTTTAAAATTACCTGGGCATGGTGGCACACACCTATAGTCCCAGCTATCTAAGAGGCTGAGGTGTGACTATCACTTGAGCCCAGGAGGGTCAAGGCAACAGTCGGTAGTGATTGTGTCATTGCACTCCAGATCAGGTGACAAAGACCCTATCTCCAAAAAAAAAAAAGAGAGAGAGAGAAGAGAATACCAAGAATGTCTGGGGAAAAAAACAAAACAAAACATATGTATCATCTCAAAAAACAATTAAGACCTAAAACGTAGTAATGGCCCCATTTTCTAATATAAGGTGGAACCGAATGCTCACTGCTAAAATGCACAGGTCAAATATTGAGGATGGAGATAGGGGTGATTGGACATCAACTTTTGAGTCCTTAAGGTTAAAACACAGCCTGTTTTCCTTAACATAAACCTTGCAGATGTGCAGATTCATCAACAGCCACCTGAATCCAGTGCCCAGATTTAACAATGATGCTGACCATCAAGAACATTTAACCCCGTCTCTACCAAAAATACCAAAAATTAGCCAGGCGTAGGGGCGGGTACCTGTAATCCCAGCTACGCAGGAGGCTGAGACACTTGAACCCGGGAGGCAGAGGTTGCAGTAAGCCAAGATCATGCCATTGCACTCCAGCCTGCTTAACAACAGCGTAACTCCATTTTGGGAGGGGTGGGGGAACATTTAGTCAGCTGGGCAAGGTAGCTCATGCCTGTAATCCCAGCACCGTGGGAGGCTGAGGCAGGCAGATCACTTGAGGCTAGGCGTTAGAGACCAGCCTGGCCAACACAGCGAAACTCCATCTCTACTAAAATATAAAAATTAGCCAGGCTAATTTATTTAATGAACATTAAATAAACCCTCCCTATGTGATAGGAACTAAATGCTGGAACAAAAAGATGAACAAATCTATGCCTCCAGAAAATTCACAACCTATTGGGAGGACAAAGCTGGATAAAGTATACATAAAATATATTAAATATGATCGTATACAATTGTCCCAAATTTCTAAATTTTCACAGTGCTCTAAGAAGCTAATACCTGCTCATACAATGACATTTCATTTTTTAACTCTTTAAACACTCAGTTTATCTCACTCAAAGAC